GGAGAGGGAGAGGGAGAGGGAGAGGGAGAGGGAGAGGGAGAGGGAGATGGAGAGCGAGAGAGAGAGAGAGGGAGCGAGAGAGAGAGAGAGGGAGAGGCAGAGACAGAGAGAGAGAGAGATGGATGGAGCAAGCACTCTCACCTTTGAAAAAACATCAGGCGTCTCCATGTGCAAATGATTCAGGGCAGGTTCCTGTGCAGCTACAGTTCCAGTTGGGATCTGCATCGATAACACACGTGACCTGATGACAAAGAGCTCGTGTCCCTCGTCCCCTTGTTCAATGACGACATCGCCTCGGTAACGCACGTACTTGGTGAGGATATTGACAGCTGGGGCAGAGAGAACAAGCGCCAGTCAATATAAACTCAACATGACTCAACTACAATAACCTGATCTAAGAGTCTCAGTCTTTGAGTCTTTGACCTGGAAGGTATTCTTTGACCTCACAGACTGGTGCCAAGGAAGGCAGGTCATCTTCTGGCAAGCGCTTGAAGAGCTGCACCTGCCCACTTTGCGACACGTTAGCACATCATATGACAAACACATTCGATTGTAGCAAGTTCCAGTCTTTCTATTTGCATTTGGTTTAGTTGCTTCATGAGGAATCGATAAACCCCCTATCCCTATCCAGCCCTGCCTTCTGCAAGAACTCCAGGATCTCATGGACTTCAACTATCGAAGAAGCAACCGACTGGATCCCATCCTTAGCATGCTTGTCGGCTGCAAAGCCGACAGTGCGAAAATACACAGAAAGCACATCGTGTGCGAGCAAGTTTCTTCAACATCTTCTTGTCTTCTCTCATCTTGTTTGGAGTAGCAGCTGTTGCTGCAATGTGCTGCTCCCATGCAGGAAGTTAACCGGAAACATCTGATCTACTGTCTGAAACAGCTGCGGGACCGGATGTACAACCAAGAAAACCAAACTTGGTGCACGTGTGATCCATGTGACTAAGAAACCCAGGGCTCATTTTTCATGAACCGATGAGCGAAGCAGACCGTGGCCACCTTAAGCGGGGAGCTGCATCAGCTGCGCTTGACCTGAAACAACATTGGGTGGGATGATCGGGTTGCCCGATGAAAATTGTTTTTCAAACTATGGACTAGCGGAACGGAATCGTATGATCAAATGCCGAGACATTCTACTGACAGCTATGTGCTCACATATTCAGCACTCTCTGCTCGTCGCTTTCGCCAGTTGAGGCTTGGGCCATTCCAGGGTTGGCGGAGAAACCTTTGGCCACCAACTCATTGACACCTTCCTGGCTCCATGTGACAAAAAGTCCTGACTGGACGGTGCTGGAAACAAAACAGAAAAAGGCAGCAGGGCCTGGACAGCGCTCTTTGCAAGGCCAGCTATGTGCAATGCCTGCCACTCGGCACAGCTCAAATTAGGGGACAGGCACCGGACCCGTAAGTGCCTTGGCGCGCTCATCACAATCCTTCAAATCCTCGATCAGTTTGTGGCTGCTGTCTGTTAAGCGGAAGACCTTCCAATGGCGAAAGCTGCGCTGCTACATGAGCGCTGTCAAAAACCATCCGGAACTGTCATTAAGATTGTAAAAACCGTTCGCCAATCCCTTCGCAACGCTTTCGTCGCTCCATGTTTTGCTTTCGCCGACCCACTTCACCCAAAAACCTCTTTCGCTAACCATTTCAAAGAGTTTCTGCTACTTATATAATTACGCCCAAGAAAAGTATCAGCAAAGGGGAATCATAATCTTAAGTCCTAGCTAAATTCTGTCGTAAAGGTTTATGACGGTGCTCACATGTCCGTACATCGAAGAGGTCTGATCAGTCAGAGATCGCCTTCAGCCCTATGCGGGCAGGAAGTCCTCCAACGGCAGCCTTCACCGGCCAACAAACCTCAGAATGTTTCCCCTTACCGCCCTTCCTAGCCCTCACACACCAAAGCTTAGCTTGCGGCATTGCAGCCAACAGCAGCAATACACCAAATCTCAACCTGCCACAAAGCAACTATATACCATCAGCAAATGCTACAGCATGTTGCCGCAAATTCTTGGAAGTCTGAGTGTCAAGCGTCGGTTTTTACAGGAACTGCGAAGGCGCCAGCTCGAAATTCCTCTCAACAATTCAAAGTGGTCCAGCGCATCTATGACTGCCCCCCAACTCAAAAGCTCCAAACTACATGGAAATTGTTCATTCTGCATGGCAATCTGCAAAGCTACCGTACGGCGCCTGAAGGATCTCTGGATCTCCTCGATTCATGAGACCTTCCGGGAACCACGCGCCCACCTCAAGTCTGCAACGGCAAACTGATACCAACATGTCAGCAGAATCACAGAATGAACGCACACCATCAAATCACCCGCAATCGGGATCCTCCCAAGCAGCTGGCCCCACCAGATCGAACATGATCGTTGAAAGCGTTCAACCTGGAAGTCGTCTTGACGCCTTCTCTTTTCCCACCTCCACTGTGCCCTATGCAGTTTGTTGTGGCTCACATGTGGCTGCAAACCAGAGGCTCTCCGCGGACTTTAAGCAATGCTAGAAGCAAGTCCACTCAAGTCCACTCTAGAACTCAGCAACCAGATTCAATGTTGTGATTTGAGGTAGAAAGGCAACGTAGGATGACTAGGATGATTGCAATGATTACGCACATAATGCAGGCAACAGAAGCTGATCCTCAAATGGTTATGATGATTACACACATGCACATGGGGTGGGGTGGGTGGGGGAGTGGGTGAGGTGGGGGGGTTGGGCCAAAGTGTTGACGTTCGCTGGTTCGGTGATTCAAGAGATGCAATCGATCACAGAAACCTCCTTGCAGCTCACTACCTCAACAAGGGACCTGCGAAGGCATGCGAAGCATGCGTGGTGCCACGTGATGCATTCAAACAAACACTACGGCAAGCTTGAGATCGAGTGTAGAGTCTAGAGGAAATTGCAAGCTTGACTGTTGCTGCGGCCTTTTGTGGTAGCATTGGGCTATTTTGACACGTTTACCACCATGAAAAGACATGTGCCAGAATCTTGAAGCTACACCTGGACTGGGGAGATGAAAGCACACCCGTAAAGTAATACAGTAGCATGGTGGTAGACCGTTGGCAGTGTTTGGACAAAAAATGTTTTAAAAAATGGTGTACAAAACGGGCATTTCTACTGCAGCCAGCGGGATGCTTGAAGCATTTTTCAACATGAAATGCGATGTGCAAAAACCATAAAACCGTCAGCCTTGCAGGCGGATTCGTGACAGCTTTGTTGCTATGCATTCGGTTTCACCATTGCCATGATATACCTTGTTGGATTTCCATGTGGTCTTTGGAAATATGTTGTTTGCAACAAGAATGACATTGATCCTTTCAGCTTTTGGTACCAACAAGGTCGCAATACCAATTCAATGCAAATCACATCACATCATTCGAGCTTCAGCGGTTTATCGGCTGGCCGGTTTGGACCCATTCTTATGCTTTGTGAGCAAATACTGTTCCAATCCTGCATACAAGTTCAATTTCGACTCTTTTTCTCCATGTGTCCACTTGATCATAACCCTTTTTTGGCTTTTCGTTTTGGTGAAGCTTTGCACCCGGGTCCAGCAATCGATGTGTGTCTAGTTAACCCAACTGCGGTGGCTAGCAAAAAGGCTCTGCTGGAATCGCTCGACGCTGACATACTTTGTCTTGCGGAAACGTCTGCAACCTCGCTGATCCAATACGAGTTCACCCAATCTTTGACCCCAACAAAGTACATTGTCAGATGGGGAAAACCCGTGGATGACAAAGTAAAGACATCCGTTTTGAGGGACCAGAAACCCCCCAGACGAGGTGATGCCCTGGGTACAGCCATCATGATGCGTTTATCCTCCAGACTCCCGCGCATCGTCGACATGGAACTGTTATATCAGTCATGCAGATTCAATGCCTGTGTATGTATGTTGGGGGCCACAGAGGGGTTAATCGTGAGTACATACTTCTTTTCTGGAAGAACAACTGAAGCACAGACTCTCAATGATATTCTGCTGACACACATTTACGATTTTGTTGCCAAGACCTCAATGCCTTTTATCATCGCGGGGGATTTTAATCAGCGTATTCAAAATTTGACGGCTTGGAAGGCATTTCAACACCTTCACTGCGTTGAGGGTTTTGATTTGGCACACCAGAAATTGCACAAGGAATTACCGCCCACATGCCGCAATTCCACACGCTTTGACTCCTTCATTTTCCATCCGATCATTGCTGAAATGATAGTTGACATGTGGGTTGGCCCTGCTCACCTGTTTTCTGATCATTCCCCAATTTATGCACGGGTGCAGTGTGACAGCCACTCCCATTTGTCATCTTCCCTCTACGTGCCCAATGATTGGTCGTGTTTTCCAGTTTCTTCCGACGAATTTTCTCATCAATACCAGATAACTGCTCGTAATGAAAGTCTTTCGGCCTTCATTCATTCTTCCGTGACCTCCGCTGAACAAAAAATGCAAATGTGGTCCCGCACAGTGGAAAAAGCACTAAATCGCACAATCCAAGTGCAGCATTTTCGTGACCCTGTGAAGTTTCCACAGAAGAACCTCCCGTCTCGCTTTCAGGGACGCTGTCAGCCGCCAAAGTTCGAGAAAAGATCAATTTTTAGAAGCGTGAAATCAGATCCGACCAATAGCTACTCGCCCGAAGGTGAGCCAACATCTCTAAAGACCTGTCAGAAGGTTCGCCAGACTCGCCGCTTGGCTTCTTTGTTTCGCCAGGTCAATAGGAAACTCTTGAAACATCAATCATGGGAACAGATACCCAGTGCTGAGCAACAACTTCTACAGCAAGAATGGTCCAGAATCCGTTTGGCACAGGGTTTTGGTCATTCCTGGGAAGGTTGGGTCCTGAGTTTCGAGTGTATACCGCTGGTACCTACCAGAGTTCCGGATATCTCCTTGCTCCATACGTTTCTTCAGATCACTAAATATGACACCGATCTTTCAGTCCGTCAAGAAGAAAAGATTCGTCGAGCCGCCAGAAAGCATTTAATACAACAAGACAGCACCGATAAGAACGGGTCCCTGGTATATAAGGATTTGCGGGATAAAGAGCAGAAAGTCATCTCGAGAATACCATGCGATATTCAGGCGGAAGCCAAATTGATTCGACTCTCTAAGGGAAGCATTCGCCTACTTGTGACAGATGACACAAAATTTCGAGTCGGCAATGCGCAATATGCAGATATACCAATTCAAATACAATCTCAAAAGGACCGATTGATCATTATTGCCTCCCCACAAGAAACTGTGCCACTGCGAGCTGTGATCACACAAAAAAGGTATATATACCGAAGATATTGATACCTTGTCTAGACATTTCTTTTCGTTTTGGCAGCCAATGTGGCAACGGGATACAGAACGTGAGGCCACAGATTTATCTCAGTGGTCAGAGGCATTGCAGGATATTCTTCCCCCAATTCCCCCACGTGAACCAATTCCGATTGTGTGGGATGATCCTCACGTGATCCGTGCAACGATACAAAGAATAAAACCTTTTAAGGCACCTGGTGTGGATGGTTGGAGAGCACAGGAGCTCCAGATGCTTCCTTTTGGGGCAATTGAGGATCTTGCATCTATCTTCCATGTGATCTGGCCAACTAAATTGACAGCCACACAGATGTTAGCCAGAGTAATCCTTCTTGCAAAAGTTCCTAATCCGGAGACCTTCTCCGATGGCCGACCGATCACGATATTAGGATATATTCCACGACTTACCTCTAAACTTGTGGCCGATCAGTTGCTGCGTGAATGGGGAAAAACCTGGGACCCACAGATCGCTGGTGGTCTCCCTTTTCGCGCAGTTAAAGACATCACCATGCAGCAACAGTATATCCTAGAAAAGGCTCATTCCACTAATACACCCTATGGTGGATTCACATTGGACCTCATAAAAGCCTTTAATGTAATTCCCCGCCAAATTGCTCGTCAACTCCTCATCCACTTTGGAGCGCCAGATGCTGCTGTAAGTGTTTGGATACGTTCCCTAAATCAAATGCGGCGCATGCTTCAGACTCGACAGGGTTTCAGTCCATCTTACTCATCTACTACGGGTGCCCCGGAAGGGGACTCCCTCTCGGTGTGCGCCATGCTGGTAATTGCAGCAACATTTTTTCATCATATGGCCCAAGTTCGCGTCACACCGTTTACATACGCTGACAACTGGACGTTCCTTTCCACCTCCGAGAGAAACTTGTTTCGAGCCATGCAAACCACCCTTAATTTCACGCATGCCCTTCGCATGAAGGTCGACATTCGTAAGTCTTGGGGGTGGGGAACAACAAAACCCATGCGGGACTTTTGGGGTCACATGCATCACCTTTTCAGCATCTCCCGTAGAAATCCCCGTCCGTCATGCAGCAAAAGATTTGGGATGCACAATGCAATACACTAAGCAGTGTGTTCTTGGGTGTCTGAAAGATCGTATGGCGGTAGCAACTCGGAGACTCACCCGTTTAGGCCGCCACAACCTATCTATGTTTACAGGAAGTCAGCCAATAACGCCCACCTTTTTCTTGAGCCAAAGTGCGAGGGTCAGGAGGTATATTATACATAGAATACGTGGAACACTTAGTAAAAACACCCCCCCGCGGCGCGAAGCGGCTTTGCCGCGGTGCACCGAAGAGGAAGTCGATCAGTGTCCACGTATCAACCTCAGGCGGCGATGAAATCAAACCGCACTACAACCCTCGAACTACTGCTTACGAATGTGGCATGTCGGCACGAATGCAATCAAGCTCCTACTTAATCATGCAAGATGAAAGCAAAATCGAGGCAATCGATCTCTTTTCACTGATGCGGAGAATGCGACAAGTCTTCGCTTGAGCAGCTATGGCAAACGACCTCAAAAATTGCGATAAGCAATGAGGTTTCTCACAAGTACAACGGCTATGCCTTCCGGCACGCTCGTCTCACCGGGAACTCTTACCGTTCCATGCTCGAGAAAAGCGTACACAGATCGCAGTAACCATTGAATTAAAATGCAAAATTAGCTGCTTGAAGGGTCTACGGCAGAGCGTTCCCGCTCGCTTCATGAGGACATTGAAAGTATCACACCAACGAATTTGGTTTCCGGCGTGACCTTCCGGTCCGCATGGCGAGACGATATTCTCGGCTTCTTTCTCCCTTCTCTGTATGACTTTTCAGCGGTTCCACCAGCCTCCCTTGGACGAGGACCACCAGTCGGAGGAAGATGATGAGGCAGCCTCGCCCTGCCACGAGGATCGTCCGGAGCGGTTCCAATCCCATGAACCGGAGCCCCAGGAACCTCCCCATCCTTGGTTCCAGCTGCTCTGCCAGCCTCCTGGATACTGGCTCTTTCCCTTGCCTTTGCTCTTGCCCTTGTTGCGACCCTTTGCTTCCGGGCAGTCGCGGGCACGATGGTCGGGTGAGCCGCACTCGTAGCAGAGC